AACCCGAAAACCGAAACCCACCCAGCCCCAAAACCGTACCCACCTGCCCATCAACCCAGCCCCATACCCCTCCCACTCCTATACAATTTGGTAGCCTCTCCCCCACCATGATTAGTCCCGAATCATCCCCTATCCCCCACCAGATAAATATGGAAATAGTTCTAGTTATAGAAGGATTATTATTATAGTTAATTACCATACTTGGAGAATTCTAATTGATGTAGGAATCTCCATCTATATAAACTACCTTGTACACAATTATTTCCTTGAGTTGAAATCATAATTCAATAATATTGATTAATAATCAAAAGAAAAGAATAAAAAAATAAGGAAGAAGACAAAAAAGAAATAAAAAAAGGTACGGGTATCATGCATGCATGTATAATGTATATGAAGATGTGGTGTTGATGGGCCATGCATTGTCATTTTGTACTTGGTTGGAGAATTGTTGCAGGATACTCCCTATATAATTAGGTGTGTTAAAGAGAGAGAGTGTGTGGGTTTTACACACCACCAAGGTAGAGAGAGAAATATGGGAGGAATTCTACACAAGAATACCACCGGGGAAATCCAAAGGGTCTTGGTGAGTGTGGGTGAGTGTAGGGAGTAACTGGTTTTAGTTACTCGGAAAAATACATCCGGGCATAGGATGTGAAAAGATCTGTTTATGAGTGTCTGGAATTTAGTCTTGTAAACGAGGGAGAGTTTTTTTATATATTGTCCTGAAATAGTGGAAATATAATTTTTCTCTCTCATATATTCTTCTTGTGTTTGTTCTCTCATTTTTCTGGTGTTCTCAATATTTTTTCGGTATCTTACGCGCTTAAAATCCCAACAGTGTGTCACTGTCACCTCCCACCTATCCTACACATTCAATCAAGGTATCACTGCGAAGCGTTATCAAACCGGATCGGATCGCTCGATTCAACCGATCAAACCGTGACCTCCTTAGACTTCCGGTCCGGTCTAGTGGAGAAACTTGAAAACCAGAAAAACCGTTTGACCCGCCGACCGGGTCAGATCTGGTGGTTCACGGGTTAGATTTTAATATTAAGAAATATTAGCTTTGGCAAGGTTCGAACACACTACCACCTGCTTAAAAGTGACTCCAACCAACTGATCAAAGACGAATCTGATTACAATTCTATACAATTTTTTATATATCCCATAGACTTTACATTTATTTATTGTACTTTATTTTATTTTATTTTTGAAAAAAGGGTTATGCGAAACATTATTTTTTTTTCATCTAAAAATAGACATGAACCATTTATACTTTAAAATTCGTTTAACATTCTTTAAAAATGAAATAATACCCTTAAGTATTTACTGATTATAATTTAATTAGTTAGAACTTTAGTGTTTTTATTCTATTTTTTCTCATTTCAATCTATTAAACATAAATTTGAAATATTACAGAGTATGATGAGTATTTAGAAATACATTAAGTAGTTGTAATATGTATGGGTATGTTGACCGGGTTGACCCGAGTTCAACCAGCTAACCCTTGACTCAGTGCCTTGTCTCGGTCGATGGGTCGATGCCTGGTTCGATTTTCAAAACATTGCTTCACACACGTATGGATGAATCTTCTACCCGAATCTGACCTTTATCGACTTGACAGGAACTTACAATATTCGAATCTGAACCAAAAAATTAAATATCCGAAACCGGCTCGAAAAAATTTAAATCGATCCCGACTCTTGTCGGGTCGGGTTTGGGTCAATAAATTTCATCGATCTGACCCATATCTGATCTGACCCGACCTATACCCGACTTACAATAATATTTAAAAGCACTAAATTCTTATATTCCATGTATTTTTGATACACATATTTTGAATCTTTTAAAATTTATTGTTTTTCTTGTGTTTTTTTATTATAGATAAATCTTGCGTGTCACCCTTATGTTACTTTCCACACCATCCAATGCACTTCTTTAATCCATTTTATCTTGTAATTTGTATATTAAAAAATTATAGAAATTATATACTTCCTCCGTCCCACTGTGTTTGTCCACTTACCTTTTGGCACATCTTCCAATGCACTTTTTTAATCCATTTTATCTTTTAATTTGTATATTAAAAAATTATAAAAATTATATATTAATAATCTATATATTACGACGAATCAAACAAGATCACACATGACTATTTTTAGGCTTACACATTAAGAGAATTTGATGAGTCAAAGTGCTTAGATGAACAGTTTCAAAAGTCAAATGTGGACAAAAACAATGGGACGGAGGTAGTATTAATAATCTATATGTTAAGACAAATCAAACAAGATCACACATGACTATATTTAGGCTTACACATTGAGAGAATTTGATGAGTCAAAGTGCTTAGATGAACAGTTAAAAGTCAAAACTGGACGAATATTCCGGGATAAATAGAGTACTATTCAAACCCAAATTTAACCATAACCGACATGATCGAATATTCAACCGTAATCGAACCGAAAAAATAAATATTTGAAATTGACCCGCCAAAATCAAACTTGAACCCAACTTAAAGTCTGGTGAGATTTCAATATTTTCAAACCCGACAAGTCAGATGATACTTTTCGGTGACGCGATGACTGCGGGCGTTTGCGAGCGAGTATCATGACACCATTGACACGCATGCCGAAATGGGACGATTAAGGCCAAGGATAGGTGAAATGGGGCGATTCACATAAATTTGAGCGGAGCTTAATGTAAGATATACTCCGTAATATTTACACCTTGAATATGAGATTAAATGTTATTTTGCATCTTCTTCTTGTTCAGAATTGGAATGAAGGGTTTTAGCATGAAATTATGCGAAATTTATAATGATTACTAGTTGTCTACCCCGTGCTTCGCACGGGCTGGGGATTTATCCACGTGTTTGTTGTATGCAGATTAGGTATTGCGTGTATTGCGGAAGGAATTTTGTATGGGTTGTAGAATTTATTTTGGAATCATAATTCAATAATGAGGAATTATAAATGATTTACACATACACAATCTAGATTCGTAATAATATTCACAACCTATTACGCTTAGTATGCTCCGTGGGTTTCAATTATCACGTTTTTGGTTGTGTTTTAATAAAAATAAAGAATAGTAAAGTTCTTAAAAATGTCATTAAAATGTTAAAAAAAATATAATAGGAGTAAATTAAAGGACATCTAAAAATAGGATTGTTACTCTTAAGAGGTTAGACCAAGTCCGGGTTGAGACGAATACGAACAATAGTTTTTCGTGATGAATAAGTCAAACACTGTACTATGACAAACAATCGTTACAGGCTTGGTTGTTTTAAAAAAGAACATAAGGTAAAGAACAAAGTAGAACTAAATCCGTTTTGTAGGGATTAAACTTGATGTATTATTAGTAAATCTTGCCCTGCCCAATTGGGCATTAAAGAAAGCAAGGATGTATTGGATAAATAAATCTCCATATGCAGTGAGT